AATTAAAAGATGAATCTAAACTTTTGTTCACAAGTTAAAAAAAGTGTACATGTCATTAAATATTAGTGCTTTTAATTAACACAGTAATAAAGCCTCTTTGAAAGTAGCGGAAAGACGGTTGATAGATGTTACTCTCTTTAAAAAATGTGAGGAATGTATTTTAATCGAATATCAAACTATTTTTAAACTAATACCATCTTTTTATATTTATTCTTGTTTAATAATGTGTTTCACTTAAATACAACACAGAGGAAGCATCCATATATAGTGCCATAAAATTTGTATCATTATGCAATAGATTGTCCTTCTATGCCCCTCCCCCCTCAAGTCAGCTACTACTTTCGACAAATATTTATAGAAAATAAAAATAATATTTAAACTATTAAATATTAAAGTATCAATATTTTAATAACATATTATTCAAACAAACATATTAATTGTTAATTACATTATTATTAACTGAATTTTAGTCTTTTACATGTAAAAAGAAAGAAAAATTGTATATGTTGGTGTTTATTTGTAATTAATATAAGTTAATTGATAGTAATTCTATTATATGGTATTCTCTCCATCCTCATTTATAAGACATTTTTAGAAAAAATTTCACATACTAATAAAGCTCACTAAATGTAATCTTTGTTTCCCAAATTATAAGACAATTTGATATAAGATTATGCATACTAATAAAACACAATAATAACATGTTACAAACCTACTTTTTTAAAACAAAACTATAAACTTTCAAAAATGCTCCTATACACTTAATTATTACACTATAATACCATTCCAATTCTCTCTCTATTTGAAGAGTAACATTGAAAAAATATACTTAATGAAACCTTAGTTATTTAAATTGTCTTATATTTTGGGACAAAAATTTCCTCTAACATTGTCTTATAATTTGGTATGGAAAGTGTACTTACAATTTTTGTTTCAAAAGAAAACTAGAAAGTTCCAAAAAATGCGCCCTTCATTTAATACTTACATTTGTGAGAAAATATTATAGAGAGAGAATATAATGAAAAAAGTAATACTAAAAAGCATTATTAATTAAACCTATTACTGTCAAAATATTTTATATTTTGGAATACTGAATCTTCCTCAAAAGTTTTTTATAATTTAGGATGAAATTATTACTTATTTGTAATTTTTGAGTTCTTTTTTATAATTTTTGAGGTTTTTTTCTATAATTTTTTTGATCCACTAATTGTCAAAGCTAAGTTTTATTAATAATAGAGATAATATTGCACGGTTTTCAAATATTAAAGGAGAACATTTCATTAAAATCAAATTTAGGTTCCTTAATGTTCATAGACCTATAGTTTAAGGATAAATTTACCTTTTAACCAATTAATATATCACACCATAAAATATCATTAAACTAATTAAAATAAAAATGATATTAAAATAATCTTATATATTTAATATAATTTTTAAATTTAATTATATTTTAAACAATATATAAAGTATAAAACTTGAATGAGTTTTAAATAAATAGTTCCTACATTAATTTTAAATAAACCATTTATTATTGATAATATTTTAACTAATTAAAAATAATTTATGATTTAAAAATTAATAATTTAAAATGAACTAATAATGATTATTTTTTAAAAAATAATGGCAATGGCACAATTCATCTTCATGAACCATGGTTGCCATGCTTCCTCTAACATAAATGTGGCAAATGCCACGGTTTTAGAAACTTGGCTCCTTCTGGTAAAGTGGAAAAGATCCTTGCCTTCTGCCACCTCCTCACAAAACCATAACTTTTAGAGAAATGACATCTAAGGATGCGTTTGGTTTTCTTCTGTTTCACGTTCAGAAAGCAAAATTTCACTTTCAAAAAGTTAAAAGTTATTTGGGTAGAATATTTACAGGAAAGCATATCCTGAAAGTACATTCAAACAGTAGCTGAAAGTGAATTTCTGAAACGTAACTATTTGAAGCTTTTGAAAAGTGGATTTGAAAAGTAGAATGTTATTTGACCATACTACCCTAAGTTTAATCTCTTATTTTTTATTTCAAAAATAGTTAATTCATTAGAAATATAATTATTATTTTAATAATAATAATAATTAGGTATCAATTTTTTAGTATTATAAATTGAGTAATTAATCATGTTAACTTTTAGCATTAATGTATAATAAAAATTACAAATCTTTATTACATCTTTTAAAATTACAAATTAAAAAATACAAATAATTAGAGATCAAATTTTTAGCATTATAGATCAAAATTTATGTTATTTATAATCTTTATTACATTTTTTAAATATTTTAAATATATTACATTTGTATAATAAAAATTATAAATTATTATAAATCAATGTCTTTTTTGGTAATTGTACATTCAAAAGCACATTTCACTATCACAAACCAAACAACTTTTAATGTATCAAACTGATTTTTGAAAAAATATATCCAAGCACAAATTTCGTTACAACAACTGACTTTCATGAAACTGACTTTCACCAAATGAACTTTTGACAAACTGAAAACCAAACGCACACTAAGTCTCAAATGGATCATTTTATTTAAATAATATTTTAATAAATTTTAAAATGTAAAGTAATTTCTTAAAATAATAGACTATTATTTTCATATAATACAATCTGTTCTCAAATAGATAAAGTTGTAAATTTAAGAGATAAAAAGTTGTAAAATTTTAAAAGTGTTCAAATAATAACATGTTACTTTTTTTAAATTTAATCATCAAGACTTGTATTTCTTATTAAAATTGAAAAAGAGGGTTATAAATTTAAGATGACAAAAATGTTTGAGAGATAAAGTTGCAAATGTTTAGAAGCACTCAAACAAAAAATAAATAAAATCACTACTATAGAAACAGTGTTGTAAATTTAAGATGATGAAATTGCAAATTTTTTAATATATTCAAATAATGACTTGATTCTTTTTAAATTTAGTCATTGAGATTTGTGTGATTGCCATTAAAATTAGGAATATTAATTGAAAATTTAACAATATGAAATTGCAAATTTGAGAGATAAAGTTATAAAATATTAAAATATCAATTTCGGGACACAAATTTATAATTTTGTTATCTTGAATTTGTAACTTGTTTTTCCTATTTTAATAGGGAATACAAATCTTAATGCTTAAATCTAAAAATTAACATGTTATTATTTAAACAGTTTTAGGAATTTGTAACTTTGTCTCCCAAATTTACAATTTTGTTTGTTGGATTTGCATCTCATTTTTTCAGTTTTGAAATTGAGAATAGATTGTACTATATGAAAATATCAACTAAGGGTATAAGAGGTTTATTTTACATTTTAACATTTATTGAGCCTTTGCTAGAATAACATGATTCTGTTTTAATTTAAGTGTCATTCCGGGTAACTTTTATAATGGTTTTCACGAAAACTGTGAGAATGCTATTTCTCACATTTAAAATTGCCACAATTTCAGCAAACCGTGGCAACTTTTTATTCTCACGGTTAGCACAGTGGAGGAAATTAACAAAATTTAACTGTGGAAAATGCCTTTTTTTTATTGTAATACCGCCTTAAAATATTATGAAATTCTTAATTATAATAAAACAAACAATTAATTATTTTTTGGTACTCATTTAATAAATTCTTTAATTATGCAGGAAAGGAAATGAACACATGATGAAATTTAGGATTAATGAAACTTTTAGCCACTGAAGTTTATCTCAAATCTCAATTATTAATTTGTTCTCTTAAGTTTAATTTTTATCAATTTGGTCCCTTTATTTTGCCTCAATTATCCATTTTATCATTATTGTTTGAATAAGATGTAGCATAGTGAAAATTTGCTGACATACATAACATAATAATGATTGTAACTACATAGATTAATGAAAATATGGTAGCTTTTTGAATAGGAAAAAGTATATTCAGAAAATTTTAAAATAAAGGAACAAAATGCAGCATAAATGACAAGGTTAATAAAAAGTAAACTGAATTGATAGTTAATTTATTCTCATTTAGTTATGTATGTATGCCAAAAGATTAAAATATTTTATACATTAGATAAGTTTGAGAATACTTTTTTTTCAACTTAAAGGACTAACATAATAATTTAAGAAAAAAAAAAGATCAAATAAATAAAATTAAACTTGAAGAACCAAATCGATAATTAAGAAAATTTCAAGGAGTAAAAGTTTTATTACCCTTGAAATTTACCAATAAAAAATGTCGTAACTCCCTAAACGTCTGCTACATATCACTAAAAGTAAAACTGACATTTAATAATTAAACTAATAATTAGTATTGGATAGCATATTTTGGTAGCCAACATCAAACAAATTAACTTGGACCTGCATGGTTTCACAAGTTCGAAACTTCCTAGTAATGCGTGAAGCAATAAGGACAAAACGGAATGAAATCGTATTTAACTGAGTAAAATACAAGGATGTTAAAGGATAATTAGATCCCGCTGGTAAATTGATTAAAATTCAAGATCATTCAAATATATATATATATATATATGGATGAGAGAGTGATTTCACTTTGATTTAAAACTTGTTTCCATAACTGTTTCTAGCCATAGCCTATATCAGAAACCGGTAAATTGATCAAAACAAGACTATATATTATATTCTTTTTGTGTTTGCTGCTGCGTGCATTTTGATTCTAAAGCTGATTTGGAAAATGCATATTTAGAATCTTCATATAGACGGGTAGAATCTTTTAATCTTTAATCAATCTGAGGTGAGTGTTTAGTTTTTTTTTCATCGTTATCAAGCCAAGCATGTATCAAATTAAGTAGAAACTATTGAGAAAGTACAATATATTAAACTTCATTCTCTATACAGAGAATCATTAATTTATATAGAGAAAATCATTTATGTCCAAGTAATCATACACGTACAGTATATATGACATTATTCAGATCAACTACTGATTTTCCTTGGATGAATGAAGAAAGATAAATATAAAAGCAAAATTAATGGAATGGAGATCAAATGAATTACGTACTGAAGCATTCTTTGTCATATCAAGATTTGGGAGGCTTAATTTCTACAAGTTAGAAAGAAATAAGGAAAAAGAAAGTAGTAGTAAAGTAGTCCCATGAGATGAATCTTATAGCCAATCAAATAGCCACCAGAAAATCTCAAGAATACGATGAACAACATTATAACAGAAGTGCAAAAGAAGCACACCGCACCATATCTGAAGAAGCAGAAGCAACGCTATTACATCAATAACTACATTACTAAACGATTCAATCTCTTCACTCTTCTTCTTCGCCTTCTTCATGATCTTTTTCTTCTTGCGTTCTTCTTCATCAGCACCAATAATCACTCTCGTTCTTTCTGCTGCTGCTTCTTGTTTCACAGTCTCATCGGTAGTAACAATCCCTCTTGTTCTTTCTGTTTCTTGTTCTTTCACAGGCTCATCAGTAGTAATAATCCCTCTTGTTCTTTCGGTTTCATGTTCTTTCACAGGCTCATCAGTAAGCTCTATTTTTCTTTCTGCTTCTTTTTGATCTTCTTTCACAGGCTCATCAGTAGTAGTTATCCCTCTTGTTCTTTCTGCTTCTTGTTTTTTCACAGGCTCATCATTAAGCCCTTTTGTTCTTTTTGCTTCTGCTTCTTCTCCCACAGTCTCGTTGTCATCACTGGTGTGCTGTCCTTCAAGCTTCACAGAGTTTTTCGACGTTGAGACAGTTTCTTCAGGAAATAAAAGAAAAGAGATAAACCCTAGTTAACTGGTTATTAATAAGCCTCCCGAATAAAGTCCTAATAATATACGATAATTAAGAACAATAATCCAACACAGTAGCTGAAGAAGGTGAAGGTAATCTACCACATCAGGACCTCTGGTTCTTTCTGCTGCTTCTTTTTCGTCATCATCATCAAGTTGTTTCGTTCTTTCTGCTTCTTTTTCATCAGGAACAGGAACTGGCATGTTGTTGGAATCCTCACTCGTATTAGCAACCTCGTCTCCTGAGATCTTTTCGCTCTTTTTGTCTTTTTCTGTGTATGATAATGATGATGATGTGCTCTCCATTGAAACGAAAATCGATAAAATAAGAGAAAAATAGAGGAACTCGAGAAGAAGGGAAGTGAGCGAGTGATTGACCAGTGAGGTTTATATAAAGGAGATAGAGATCGTTCAGTTCTTAAGAATCTTTATTTTGTATCAAGAAATAATATACCGTTCAGGCCACTTGGTCCATCTCAAGACGAGTCAGTTATACCGTTTTTGTGACTAATTACACTAACAATTGTAGCAAAAAGAAAAATAATTAATTGCCCACACAAATTTCCTAAAATTATAGTAAAATTGTTTTCATTGAAATGAGCAACGTGCCCAAAGAACTTAGGTTGTTTTATTAAAATTATACATGCAAGAGGAAGAAGGTTACGGTAAAAAATAGATCTAGATTCTCTGTGTATCAAGTCCTCCCACCTACTGAGGGGTGAGTTTCTATATGGCAGTCGCATGATTTTATTAACGCTTGAAAATTCAGTCTTAGTGAAATGGTGATTGTTAAAGGACGGTTTCATGAGAGTACATTTTAAGTTTCTGTTCCATAAAAAAAAAAGCCTACTATAAAAAAAAAAGCCTATAGGAGCTCTCATATTAGAGTGCTTATAAAAGAAACACTTTAAAAAATTAAGATGGAACATACCGAAGCGCCTATAAAAAAAGCGCTCCATAATGTTAGATATTTCAAATTACTTTCCTTTAGAAGCAATCTGAAAGACTGAGAAAATAAATAATTTTAAAATATTTTACACTCTTTCAGAGTGCTTCTAGTAAAAGTGCTCCAGAAAGTCTAGTCTTATCTTTTAAAATATGTTATAATAATTTTTTAAAAATTTAAATTTTTAGTTATTTTATTATTATTTAATTTTTATTTTTAATATTATTACTTAAAGTATTATAATTATTGTAGATATTATTAAACATGATTTATAATTTATTTATTTTTAAATATTTCATATCTCATTCGGAGTGCTCCAATTTGAGCGCTCCTTAAGGGCCGAAGCCGACGCCTACCGGAGCACTCAAAAAGGTGTGAAGCTTCAGAGAACTTCCACGTGGGAGCACTCTAGAACCTCCAAAAAAAAAAAAAAAAAAAACAAACCTGATCTCCAGATTTGTTCAACTCCCCCTATGATGCTTCTCTTTTCCTTGATTTATAAAGCCCGATATGGGTACTATGGAGCATAAAGCATCGTTCGTCGAGCAAGAGTCATCTTCTGCCAAGAAGCCAAGAAGCTGAGTCGCCGTCCGTCGCCCCATCACGTGGATTCACCGTTCCAGATATATCAATCAAAATTCCAGTTCCATGGAAGCTTCACAGCCGTAATAACCCAAAGTTTTAAAGTATAATTAAAATATAATGTATTTTAACTATATTTTCTATTAATTTTGGAACAGATTTAGCCCAAGAGTGCTGAGTCTGTTGGTTAGCAGGAAAACACTTGCTTATTAGGTCCTACTGTTCGAACCCCTACTGTGTAACAGAAGATTTTTTATTTTTCCATCTGCTTGGCTAAAATTACCGTTATACCCTCCACTTTAATAAGTTTTTTTCATCTTCCTTTTTCTGCGTTTTGCACCAGAGGAAGAGAGAGATTGAAATTTTCCTGTTCCAGTAGCTTCGAATATACTTGTTCACAGTCTTGCCCTCCATCAACTATCTCATCGCCGGTGACAGTGGCATGCTCACCGTCGACGTCACAAAGTCACCTTCCTCATTAGTTGTTCTGCCTCCTTTATTTTTGGTGGCGTTGCTGTTGGTGTAAGGGAGCTTATGTGTGGGAACTCATGAGTGGGAGCTGAATCACGGAACTGGGGTACTACTCATGAGACTTTTGCTTCTTGATATGGTTCTGTTGGCTTTGCTCCTTTTCCTCTTTTGTGTGTCATGCCAGATTTATCATGATCCCCTGTTGAGTTGCAGGTTCTGATTTCTTCACCCCGGCTTCTGTGTCGTCGGCCATCTCAAGTGAGAAGCTGTGAACTCTTCTCCTTTTCCTTGAAAAATGTGTGTGTGAGTGTGTGATGTAATAGAGTTGAAGTAGCAATTTTTTTTCCCCTCGAGTTCTGCTGCTGCCCGTGGCTATGGAGGGAGGAAGAAATTTAAGTTGAAATATTTGTACTTAAGCTTGATGATGATACACGTGAGTCAGAATTTTTGAGTTAAATTGATTTTAGTTTGAATTGGTTGATGTAAAAGAGAATTGATTAGGATGAGATTGGGATATAAGAACTTGGACATGAAATTTGGAGATAGGTGTCTATTAGATGTTTGTTAAAATGCTTGTCAGAGGGAGTTGCTTGATTTTGTATTTCCTAAATTCATTAAATTCCTTGGAAGGCAAAAATGGTTTGGGTGCTATTATCTTGTGAATTGAGATAGGCATTGTATGGAAATTTGATTATAAAGATAATGTAGCTAGTTGAATTCTTCGGAGTTATGCAATTGTTGAGAAATTGTTAGGCAAGACAATTAAATGTTAAAAAGCTTTATTGTGGGATTTAGAAATAATGTAAATTTGGTGTTTTGACAAAAAGTTTAATAAGAGATTGTATTTTAATGGAATATTGAGCTATGGCTTGTGAGGGATTTTTATGTGTAAAGTTTTGATTTTAAAATTTTAAATTTATTATAGCTAAATTTTTATAGTGGTATTGTTGGAAGGAAATTATTGAATTTATTGAAATTTTATTTAAAATCTTAATATAATTTATATGGTGTTTTGGGGAGGAGAAATTTAATTGAAGTTGAGATGTGATTTTTGAATTTTGGGAATAGTTTGGGTAAGTGGATTGCATTCTAATTGATTTTTCAATAAAATTATTTTTACTAAAATATTAAATTTTTATATAGATCATTTAATAACAACAATGCTGATTATTAAATACTTTGTTAATTAAATTACTTTATTTTAATGAAATTTTATTCTAGAAAATTTTGATACTTAAAACTATATTTTAATAGCGATGATTTTCTCACATTTTTAAAATGAATTTGGAGGAGACTTTATATATAACACTAGTTGCTAACAACAATTTCATTAGCCCTTGGCATGTCATGATCAATGACATACTAGTTTATTTTTATGAGTTTTATTTTCACATTTGTTATTCATGGGTCTAACACTTGGGCTTGTTTTTTCTTTTTTGCAGCTTCGAACCACATTTGGTTAGTATTACCTTGTGAACTATGTGTCCATATTTATTTTATAGCTCAAACTACAATTAGTTACTTATTATTGTGGATTGTATGTCCATATTTGTTTTCGTGGCATAAGTCATTTTTTATTACTTATACTAGTGAACTATATATTCACGTTTGTTTATTATCCTAGTATGTCCCAAGAAACATGAGCTTTGAGTATTTGGTGATTTTATATATTTCATTGATTTCGATTAGTGATGTTATATTATACTTAGTTATTATGTTTATTTGTTTTCTTGAGACCAAGTGATAATAATATTTTATATGATAATTTAATAGTTCAATATTTTATTTAAGATTATATAAAGCCCCTTAATTCCAAAGTTTATTAAACATTTTATATGAAGATTGTTATTTCTTTAGTTTACATAATCATTTCAAATTTTTTTCTTTTATTCTTGTATATTTATTTATTGTTGGAATGTTATTTACTGAAAAATTATTTTTGGTTTTAGATACCTTGATCAATGCTAAACCTCCTGCTGATCATTGAGGGCTTACTATTGCTAAGTTGGGCAGATAATTATTTTGATAATACCCTTTTTTGATGTATTGATTACATTTATGTGTTATATGATGAAAATTTGTTAGGTGTTTCACATAGGCTATACCTAAGATTTTTATTTTGTTACATATTTTGTCTACTGGCTAGAAAGAGTTAAAATCTTGATTGATCTAGTATTTTGTTAAAATATTGAATTTAAAATTTTTGGGAGGTTCTATTTATAAGGAAGGTTATACTGAAATTTTTACAAAAAACTTGAAACTTTTGTTGTAACACATATATTATGCATTAAGTATATCACAATTTTAGTATAAATTCAAATATGTTTTAGAAATGAAAAGATTTTTTACTTTAAGACTTAGAGGAATCACACACTACACCAATCATCCTCTATTTCTGAGGTGTGACCCTAGCACCATCCTCAAACTGTCTTGCGTTGAGACATCGAATGGTACAAGATTTATGGAAGGTCCAGATCCACTGTTTGGCAGGCACGATATTTCATTGAATTTGAACGTGTGTTTAATTCCTTCCCTCTCTTTGACTTCATCGAATGGTACGAGATTTGTTCATATGTTCTTATCTATATTCATTTTCGTGCCTTTGTTAAACAGCTTGGAGACTTGGTACAACAGAATTTTGATCCTCATAGCTGAAACTTTGAAGAACGCAAAGCTAACTCTAGATGTTCTTTCCATCGGGTACATAACCTAGCTCCTTAAACAAATATGTTGAAGTATGACTTCAAACTTCCTAAATGTCTCAATTTTTTTTTTAAGTGCAGCAGTCAAACGATTACAATCTCGTTATTAACTTCAAGCTTGTTCCAGAGCCAATATAGTTGTTCGTTGTTGTTATTTTTTATTTTTCTAAAAAGGGAGTGTTATCAATTTGAGAAGCTCATAATCACAATCTCGTTATGTTTGGCAGGATGTCTGTTAATGGCTGGAAACTGATGATTCCACTGGCTTTCTTTAATCCCAGGCGGGCCTATGAAACATTCCCAATTTATGTTGCAACCAATAATATATATCGATGCTTTTTTTTTTGTTGCATCTATGCTTACATTCTATAAAGGAAGTAAGTGTTAAGCTCAATTGTGGTGGATAACTTATATTTTATCTTCATATTTACACTACAAAAAAATTGACTTTCGGCAGTGACAAAATGTCGCCACAATGTCACTGAAGAAGCTCTTGTCGCTGATTCTATCTGCAGTAACAATAAAAGTCTCTGCTGAAAGTTAAAAATTGGTGGTGACAAATGTCGCCATAGAAAAGAAAATTTATTGTCGCAAAAAGATAGTCACCGCTGAAAGTTGAGAATAATAATTTTAGTATTGTTC